GCGTTAATATCGACCATATCAACGCACTTTGAAAAAAATGTAAAGATTGATCAATATTCCTTTAAATAATCGGTATGATAAATAACAGATCCTGGTTTGATAACTTTTTAATGATAAAGTCACTTTAGGACCTGAGCTATTGACATTTTAAATATTTCATTCGTTTCTTCTTTTTTTAATTCTAGTCTTTGATAAGTAGATGTAAAGGTGTATAGGGGGCACTAACAGAGGACAGCTTCAAGCAACTTAGCATTTATCATAATAAAAAAGGGCCAGTTTAATTGTTCAAACTATGAAAATTCTTTCTCTACCATACCTTTTACTGTACTTAAAAATTTCTAGTTTTCATCTGTTTTAATTAACTCATTTATTATTGAAAGTTTTCAACGTCATACCAGTTAGGTAAATACATAATTATATGAATGCTATGAGTATAGCATAGACATCGAGACTGGGCGAAGGGCCAGGGGAGAGGAGGGGGGCTAAGCCCCCCCCCCTCCACTTATTTTAAAAAGATATATACATCGTATAAGCATTGAAAATGCGGCGTACCCTTTTTAGGTTTATTGCTCCCCTCCCCCATTTGTTACCGACACCTATGTATTGGAAAGATAAAGATTTGGACTGAGGGATCTTTTACCCGTCTTCTCCTCTTTTCGACGGAATTAAATCAATTGTTTTTTGAGGTTAGGGTTAGGCTTAGTTTTTTGAAAGATAAATAACAAATAAAATTTTTCCATGACTAAAATATGATTTTTTTTTCAAAGTGCGTTAAGTGTCTCCATGGTAAAATATACTGATGTAGACTCTTAACGCACTTTGAAAATTTTTTTCAAAGTGCGTTGAGTTGGTCCAAAATTTAACGCACTTTGAAAAAAATTTGTTCCAATTTTAACGCACTTTGACATTTTTTTTCAAAGTGCGTAATTTTTTCAAAGTGCGTTGCCACACGCCTCCCACCTCGGGAGAGAGTGGGGCAACTGTGTGGGCTTTCCACTCTCGTATGCCAACTTTGTAAATAATTAAGTCAGGATAAAAGTTCAACAAATAAAATGTATTTACACTATGTACAATATGAGTATTGTTGTAATAAAAATCACAATATCTGACACCTTTACAGTAAAGTCACTCCCACAGCAAGTAGAAAAAAATCTAAATCTTCCAAAATAATTATATAGTTTTATTAATAAAATGTTACTCCCATAAATTCTCCCATAACTTTTCCCGTCGATGGGTCTCCCACTTATCTATGGGTCTCCCACAGGTATATTTCAGCGTCTCTATTTAATGTAACTTGACTAATATAATTACCTATCTGGGGCCCGTTTCACAAATCCTGCTAAGGACTAAGTTATATCTCAGGAAAGAAATTTTTCCTAAGTTCATTACTTATCCGTTTCACTATCCTTATCTTATTTTAGGATTTTCCTACGTTATGTCGTAACTTTAGGACAGGTAAATCGATGTCTTAGGAAGAAACTAAATATGGCGTCTGCATATTTGATAATAAACGAACGGAGACTGTTACGGAGAGAGAGGTTGTTTGGGGATAGAAACAATCATTTGGACTATATGGATGATCGTGAGATCATTTCGAAGTTTAGACTGCCTCATCATTTGATATTGGACATCTGTCAAACGATACAAAATGACATCACATGGCCTACACGAAGGTCTCATGCACTTCCACCATCCCTGCAGCTTATGGCTGCATTACGTTTCTTTGCTACTGGTATTTTTCACACAGTAACTGCCGACTTGCATCGAATAAGTAAGAAGAGCTATTCAACAATTTTCAGAGATGTGTCTCAATCATTGGTTAAAATAAGTCCAAGACAGATAAAAATGTCCATTGATCAGAATGAAATTACAAAAAGAATGTATGATTTTTAAAAGAGTTTGTGGCTTCCCATATGTTAAAGGCGCAATAAACGGTACACATGTGGGAATAAAGTCCTAATCAATTGAAGAGCAAGTCTTTGTGAATAGAAAAAATTACCACTCTATAAACACTATGGCTGTATGTGATGCAAAACTGAAATTCATTAATACAGTGGCAAAGTGGCCTGGATCATCACATGATTCGTTTGTATGGAACAATTCCACCCTTACATTCAGAAATTTTATTGGATAATTTTTTATCATAAACTTAGATGAAGGAGATTTGCACATCAATCTGCATACATAGATCTTAAAATAATAATGAATATACTGTATAGTATATGAAAATATATTATTTAACCTTATTATTGTCAAAAAAAGTGACAATGTCTAAATCTTTTGGGCATTCCAGTTTTATTGTTCCAACGCTAGAATTATGTAAATAAGAAACAAGAAAACATTGATGTAACCATCAATTGTCGCCCGGAAAATATATAAAGTAAACAATGGAAATGAGTCTTGATCATCAAACCGCTTCGATATGTGTGAAAAGGCATGCATCTAATCAATCGCAACTTCTCGGGCCTTTCCGACTAGCGGAAAACAACCTCGAGGTTGTTTTTCCGACCTCTGACGGAAAGACCCGAGATGATGCGATTGGCATCTAATCAATGAAGACGATAGTCGCGAATATTTTGAAAACGTATAGTCGGATAAATAACAAACATACCAATACCATTTTAAACTTCAATTCCTCGAGTAAATGTTGGCTGCAGAAAATATAAATTGAAGTTAGACACATGCATCACCTATATTCAAAAATGTATTTAATGTTCAATTTTAAGAATATAAAACACGAACTGTGCAGAGTACGTTTTTATGCGAGAAGTAAAATTCGATGTTCTAAAAAAGGGGACCTGTCGTTTTTTCGATAGTAAATGATAAGCAACTTTATATATTAAATATGAAAAACATATATATATTTAAAGATTCACTTTATGGTAGTAAATATATTATGTATCTCGTAATTTATAAAGGGAAAGAACGTTCAGACTAACAATCTATTCAATGTTTAGAAAACCTTTAATTCTGAATAACTACTCCCACCCCAATCTCCATATACCAACACTTAAACTTATATGTATAGAGCAGCCCGGTCCTCCGGGCTGCAATGATTTATTTATCACGTTTATCCCCGTTTATCAGGCACGTAGAATCGGGCAGGGGGGTGGGGGTGGGGGTGGGGGGGTCCGAACATAACGTTTTATTAATATTTCAAATGCATGCTGAACTTTCATCTTCCTATTCTTTTTATGTCAATTATTTTTCCGAAAGATAAAACAAAAAATCTCATGTTGGATACCCCCCCCCCCACACACACACATTTTCAAAAACGATGCTACGTGTCCCTCATGCATGTAATTCATTTGGATATTTCTTCTCATATGATATGGAAACAAGATATTTTTTTGTTTTAAGTTTATGAAAATAACAGTTCATTTATTTAGATTAAGTCTTTATTTCTTTCAAACCCAGGTATAAACACATACCTGTAACGTGGAGTAAGATCCACACGGCAGTCCCGAAAACAACACAGAAACAACTGTTGTACTGCCAGTTGCAAAGTATATCATCAGCAAATAGGCAAAACTGAATGGAGCCACAAAACTTCTATAACATAGGCAATAGAGCTGCTCCATATCCCTGACCATATACATTTCCATATTTCTATCCCCGGATAATCCATGGAGGAATGCCACAACGGCAGCATTGCTTTATTTCATCCAATCTAAAAAAGTATACGTAAATTAGGTGCAATCCATATTAGCTGAATGGTAATATTTTAATTCTTTCCATTTTTTATTTCATTTTTTGTTACCAAACAACATCTTACCATCAAAATTGAGTTACTGTATAAAACTTACATCCTTGTACCTTTTGGAGGAGGATATGGCATCTTCAGTCACTTGTCTGGCAATACACCGTCCAATACTACCAGCTATTTTTACTCAACTTTCCTTCTCAAAAAGACCACACTTCTTTAAACTCATCCAAGTAGTAGTCCTTAATTGTAATTTTCAGATCTTTTTCTTGCATAGATTGTCCTCTGCATACGAGGCACAAGCATTGCAAATATATAAGGAATGGGGAAATAAATCTCCATTTGCAATGAGGGCCTCAGTTGCCTGCTTCCTTATTTTTTTCCATCATTCTTAAAGACAACAATATATTTCCCCTCTGAATAGATGTCATGCTGTTTACAGCTGTTCTGTTTTCTTTTGGGTGGCATATCTACCATATCATAAAGTTATAAGTATTTATTACACAGTATTTGTATTTTCTCATGGACATTTATGTATTCGCTTGTGCTTTTAATTTCTGAAATTTATTTTACTCAAAATACTGTAGTTTCTGAGCGACTATCCCTTAGTACGACTTACTGTCTGTCTTACGTCAAATGGCGGGATAATCGAACTCTTTCTCTTCTACACGTGGATGCCGAGCAGACAGGACGTGTCTGGGACAGCAGCAGAGCGGAGAGTCGACCCGGGCCAGAACCCACTGTGTTTGTATTTGTGTATATACGTTGTTAAATAAATACTTGTCAAACACACCCCATACAGCTACTGTAATAGATTCACTGAATTACACTTGTATTTTTTAAAAAGGAAAGCAAAATATAGAATGACTAATGTATCAAAATAAATCAAGTTTTCCTTCAATTCAAATCCGTTAATGCAATCAATTATATATATGTAAATGTTTAAACTCTGATGTTGTTTTTCTGTGAATTTTTGGATCCATGCCTAGGCTGTAGAGGATGTTAACACACGCGCTGACTTAGTTCTAAGATTTTCAAAAGTTCTAACCATCATTTACTTAATAGCCGAGAAGACGATACATACGAACATACATTGTATATTTTGAAGAATCCCATCATACCTGACGAATGTGTGTGTCTGACTCTCTATGGTGCACTGCTTATTTTCTTTATCAATAATGAGGCAGATTGCTCATTGTTTACATCTCAATATTTAGAAAATCGCCTAGCACTTTTTGTATGGAGCGTAGTGGAGTTTGTCGGGGATTACCGATTTATAAATGACAGCTTACACTGGGACTGCAGATCCGGAAATCAAACTTATAATGTGTCAACTCTCGAGAGAGAAAAAAAATCACATGCTTCCGGTTCTTCTTCTTCCTTTTAAACCACAAACCACCTTCTGGTGTATTGTTGTGATTGGATTTTAACAGCAATGGAAGACAAAGTCAAAATCTAAGTTTGTAAGGTTTGAAAACTTTGATAAATGTCGTATTATTGTCGTTTTATTGATAAAATAGCTACTTATAAGTGAGGTAGGATGAAAACAGTACCTTTTTTCACTTTTCAAGTGGAAAAAGGCGCTCTCGCAGACTATGAAATGGTCATATACTGGCACGGATTTCTTCCTCAAGTGTTCCAGTACATGAGGAAGAAATCCGTGCCAGTACAGTACAAGTCTTCATGTACATGTACTGTGTCAGAAATTTCGCGTTTTTGCTTAATATAAAACACGCTTTGCTTTTAATTTCAAAAGAAGTGAACTTTGTCTCACATATCAGAGATATTTATTTGACCATAAAAGGAAATATCCCTCATTTCAGAGAGAATCCCGATATCGGGGGATGAGTCCCATTTAATGGAGTTGATTTTTGTCGTAATTTTAATTAGGCAAAGCGATAGGTCAGGAGCTAACTATACAAATATGCATGTCAATCTCATGCGCGTCTGTCTTTGTGTCTAATTATAAAGCTATGGAGGCCTAATATGCATGAAAATCTAAAGCGGCTGTCTTTAAGTTTGATGATCAATAAGTCCATTGATTCAAAACTTTTTAATTACAAAAAACTTTATATGGCCTGTATACCGAGTATATGAAACATAATCTTAAAGATCCTAAATATAGGGAAGTCATATCCTTCCACTTGCGTCAGCCTTTCATAAATATTATGGATTCCGTTGAAGATTAATTAGAGATATATTGATATTGCCCTGTCGACAAGGGATGATCTGCAAACCTGTGTTGGGGATAAGTGTTTGCTCTACTCCTATTTTGTATTGTTTTATGGACTTTGATCTTGAATACTTTTCATTATCTCCATATCCCCCTGTTTATACTTTAATAAAATCTTTCATATTGAAAGTTAAAAAATATATAGATGCATAAAACATTTGTTATTCATAAAATGTAAATGTAAATTTAAACCTTTCTTTTATTTCTTCTTAAATTTAGTAGCCTGTACATCAATCAGATTTCCCAGTTAAACCAAGGCTTCCAGGGTTTTACTGGCTTCCCATCTTCTGTTACTGAAGTACTGTCAGTGGTGTGCATCTGCATCATTTTTGTAAGCCCTGGGGTTCATGTAGCTGATTTCATTAAAAGGAGTGTGGTCCTTTCTTTCATTTGGTTTTGTCATATTGTCAGCGGATTTGAAGTTATCAATCCGTGTCCACTGAATTAAACAGATTCTTCCTAGTGTAATGGAGCAACTACTGTAAACCACGTAAGGTCATAAACAAGTACATTTCAGAGACAAAAGCAGTTTATATCAAGTTACAGGACATAACGGCAGACTTTCCTCTCTAGTTTTATAGTCAACAAAAAGTCATTTAGACACTGTGGAAACTGGTGACAGCCTTACGAAATACCTAAGAAACTAACTCTAACTAATTATCTGGATCTGGAGACACGAATGTAAGTTTTGCTTATTAGGTTGTCAAAGTGGCAATTTAGTCCAAAAGAATATTTTTCCTTTCAAGTTGGATAATTTATTATTTCGGCCAAAGATTCTCCTTAGCTTCGTGGCAAATAACATTGTACATAAGAAGAATCAGCTTTTGTATAATATTTTTTGGTTCTAAATATAGGAGAAGTTATCAAATTCAATGATTATAAATTAAATCTAGAAGAGAAAATGCACAACAATCTTTTTTGAAAAGCCACGCTATCCCGTCCAAGAGATAAATTCCACATCCAATGAAAAACACAGAATTTCCACCACGCTGGGTTTTCTTAGGGGCTGTACGGACCTGTATTCTGCTTTATTTCTTATGAAAAAGGTATACGTTTCATCAGTATTAGTTTTTAAAAGAGCTAAAAAAAATTATTTTGATGAAAAGTAACATGCTTTTTTACTTCTTTACAGACAATATACAGAAGTATAACAATGGCACTATACCGGTAACAGGAGGTATGCATTTGTTTCTTACATAAACTATATTAATGCCCTGTTCACACAACGAGTTTAATTCGCAGTAAATTAATGCGAAGAAAACTACTGCGAATTAAATTAGGTTCACACGACAGCTAATGCGAAGTAAACTAATGCGAATTAAAATTCTACTTCTACGGCCAGGCGTCAGTAAGGCCATAATGACGTCATTTGCAAATCACGTCACATTATGCAGGAGCAGATGCATTTGACATATGGTTACTGTGTCTGTACACACGTTTTGGTGATTAACACATTTTAGCAAACGTACTTCAAGCTGACCACCGATTTGTGGTATTTGACCTAATTTTCCAATTACGCATGCCTCAAAATTTAATTCGAATAAGCTTCGCTTAGCGTTCACACGGAGCTAATGCGAAGTAATTTAATGCGCAATTAACTAATTCGAATTAAACTAATTCGCATCAAATTCTCCGTGTGAACGCTAAACGAAGCTAATTTGCAGTTACTTTACGTTTAATTCGCATTAAAGTAACGCCTTCTCTTCGCTTCGCGATATTTGATTGCAAAAATGCTGATTCTAAATGATTGATTGATTGTTTGATTGTATATTTTTTACGTACCTCTCGAGAATTTTTCACTCATATGGAGACGGCACTACTTGCCGTTGGAGAGCAGCATCTTTTGTCCTATACTCGGCACTAAGGCTCATTGAGCAGAGAGGGATCTTTTTTCTTGCCAACAGTTACACTGGACCTCAGTTTATACGTTCTCATTAGAAAGACCAGTCTCCACGTTCCACATCGGATTCTAACCCACTGCGTAAGGATAAACTCCTTACTTCACGCCACACGGGCGATGATGCTGAACGAAAAACGTTCGTTAAAAATTTAAATATAGCAAGTATAATTTCACACTAAGAAACGATAGTTAATGTGTTTCATTTCCTTTCCAATGAAAATCTTTCCTTAACTGTATTAAATGTTTTTCAATATCTCGCAACATCTAATTTTACGACTAGAATAAAACATTATTTTAACCTATTATTATTGTTGGCTATATGTACGTTTTCAAAATCATATTTGTTGGGTTAGGGTGTCCTGATACATGTATACTTATGAATTATTTGAAAGTTCATAAAATGTCATACTTGTTTTACATGTATATGTAATTATAAAATTGAAACGTAATCATCAAAATAGAAACTGAATGGAAGACATATGTATGTGATGTTTTGAATTCTATATGGACTGTGAAATAATTCATTAATACATTGACAGGGTCTAAATTGTGTGTGAAATGAACATAGCAAAAGTGAATTCGTCTTTCTACATATATATTGGAACATTTATGAATTGACACATTTTTTTTCAGAATGGCGTTAAGTAAAGTGTTTACTCCAAGTGACAGAACAAGATTTGCGAGACTTGCATTGATCATAGTGGAAGAGCTGACGCCTATTTTACGAGACGTGTTAGAAAAGGAAATTTCTCCTCGCGTTATATTCAATACAGTCAAAGCAAATACACCATTGTTTAGACTCATTCGAAAAGATCAACTTCTTATTATCCAGAATGCCCATACTGATGGATACAGAGACTTTCACATTACATTGCTTTATACATTGATACGTATTCTTTGTCCCAATATTCCATCTCCCACACAAGTATGGGGGATCACAGAAATGCCATCTCAGGGAGAGGTTAGTCTTGGAGATGACATAGAACGTATCCGCTTAATTAAAAACAAATTGTATGCCATGTTTCTAACACGTGTGTTTCCCAAACCGAATTCAATGAGTATTGGGCTCTCATGTACAGCTTGTGTCAAAGAACAGGGAACCGCCTACATAAAAAAATTACATTCAGAGTCTCCAAAGTGCACAATACCGACCATTAAATGAGGAATTAGTAAGAGTGGATGGAGAAAATTAGAAAATCGTCTGAAAGTGAGAAAGAAGTCGTTGAAGTTATCAGGGAACTAACAGCTTCAATGAGATTAGAAAAAGGTAATGATTTATCTAGATTATTAAAACATGCAATTTTAAAATTAAACTAGAGCAAACAATCACTCCTCTGAAGGTATGGCATAAGATATTTCCTTACAGAAACTAACTTCTACTTCCCCGCCTTTATCTGTATATAATTATTAATTTTTCCCCCAGGAAATAGAATATTGCTAGACCTTTCTTGATTTTCAGTGATGATACTCTCCTTCTATCATAAGAAGATATTTTGTCGACGGTGTGTTTTAAATATAATAAATGATATTTTTTTTACTCTCCAACTCCCGTTACTACCATCAACACCACCATCTATTCCCTACCACCAAAAAGGAAAGTATTAATAAAACCAATATGTTAGGCCCTGTAACGTGAAATATAGAAATAAATACTTTTAAATTACTGTTATCCAGTTACAGTAAACCTGCAAGGCCTACAGTTATAGATATAAACCATTACTGCAATGTATGATTTCTTTACTGAAGGATTGTTTACTGCATCTGCAAAAGTTAATGCCGAAGCAAAAGACCCGGCACAGAAAGAACAAGCAGATTTTTTACTGGAAACAACCATTGACCTTCTGAATCATATGGTAGAATGTATCAATGAAGTAACAACAGAAGAGGAGTTAAAGGAAATTTTTGACACAGTAGAAAGCCTTTTAAAGGAAGGCTCAAAAGAAATAATATGGGACTCTATCAAACCTTTCTTTGACAAACTGTCATCAAAAATGAAAACCTATGCAAATCAGCAAGTTCGAAAGATCAGTATTTTGGCAAAATTCACGAAATTTGTCATCTTTTTAAGAACAAAGTATGGTGCTGATATAAAAACCTACAAAAGCAGTTTATTACTTCACCTGACATTTCTTTCGGAGGAGGGATATGAACTTTATGAAAAAGACTTGGAGAGAGGAGAGATAGGAATAGAAATTCTTGATTTGCTTTTATTCCCAGTATATTTAGCTTGTCTCGATTTAAAAGCCCACGATTTAATAATATCACTAAACAACAAAACAATCTACGATGATGCTGGTAAGTAACTTTGTTAAGTACTGTTTGGGGTTATTAAACTTGATTATTGACACAGAAGCTTTTTTTATTCGAAAACTATTACGTTTTATTTAAAGTGGCTCATTATATCCACGGTTTATTTTGTATTTCATAACAGCACCACTTTTAATGTAGATGTCAAATACCTTTTTTTTTTAAATAGCTAAGCCATAATTGATTATATTTATATGGAAACATCCTAAGGTAGTGTAGATTCAAGATTTCTCAAATAATGACCCCTGGGAGTTAGGAGGGGCAAAATTGGACTATAAATTTTTGTAAAGAAATATATAGGAAAATTCTTTTAAAATCCGCTTCTAGAGAATACCAAAGTCATAATTGATCATATTCATTTGGAAGCATCCTGAGATAGTGTGATTTAAGGTGGTTCAAATCATGACTCCCGGGGCTAGGGCGGGGACATTATTGCCTTTCAAAGTTTTACATAGACATATACAGGAAAATTCTTTAAAATTCTTCTTCCGAAGAATAGCAAGGCTATGATTGATCATGGGACTACTTTTGGATTTAAACTTTTCAGTAATAAAACAATTTATAATTTGTCCTAACCACAATGCTCAGGTGAGCGATGTGGCCCATGTCGCCTTTTGTTGTTAATCTGAGTAATCATTGCCAACTACATCAAAGAAAAAAATGCTTGAATGTTTTTATAATACGCTATTATTGATTGGTTGATGAAACAACCCAGCGGGCACACAACATTGAATAAACTTTGAATCAACGTTGTTTTTCTATGTTGATTCAACATTGATTTTATGTTAGATTTTGAAAATTTGTATCAACGTTGAAGTCTTAACATTGAATCAACATTGATAATCAACGTTGATTATATGTTGAAAAACAGTTGATTCAACATTTATTCAATCATTTATTTTGGAAAGGCCCGGGGTGTCATATAGTAATAATTAGTGTTGGCAACGAGTACCCGGTTAACCGGTTAACCGTCGAACGTTGCGAGTATCGGTTAGTAAAACTGCTATTCGGTTACTCGGATAAATTTGATTCTACATAGTAAAGGCATAGAAAATGAATGTATTATAATCTGAAAATGTATACTTACTTACACATTTCCCTAATTCTAGGTACCGTTACACTTGATCTAGTGCATGTTTGTAGTTAATCAAATTGTTTTGATTAGTTTTCACAGTTTATTTAATTGATAGTTTTGATTGCGTAGGGTATACATATTTTGAAGGCCTGGATTATAATTACCTCATTTGATAATTTAACGAGATGCCGCCGAAGACATAATAAGCTTGGAGTTGTAACAAAAGAACAGCTGATTCAAAATCTGTTAAATCACCTAAGCTTTAATTATTTGGAAACCTGTGATTGACTGGACACTAAACATAATAACTATTAATTATGGAGTATGAAAATAATTATTCTCCTTGATAGCGAAATGTTTCAGGGGCTGAAAAAGAAAGTGTAAAATGGTCATTGAAGATGACGTACTTATTTGTCTTCTTTGTGTGTCTTATTCCCAATTCATTTTCTTTATTTCAAAATCGTAAATCTTTGACAATATCGTATATTTGTATTATGAATATAATGTCCCTATTCATTATATTTGTGCATCACTACTACAGATAAGTATAGAATAAGATAAATTATAGATATTGATACTTTTACCAAAAATCATCCGAGTAACCGGGTACTCGATCGGAAGATGAAGCGAGTAACCGGTAACTAAAAATCGTCCGATTTGCCAGCACTAGTAATAATATACTTGCTTAACATTTCAACCGTTTTATTGCACGGTTACTAAGATGCCTTCATAATTATTGAAGGGATAGCGACTCTCTGATAAGACACATAACTTTCAAAGTTAGTAGTCATTTTGATGAGATCAAACATATGCAGAAAACATTACTTTCTATTTCTTTTGTAATTGCTTTATTATATTTAACAATAAAACATTTAAATCCAACATCAAATACCTTACAAATTGAATAAGTTGTATCTTCTTAAGTACTATTTTAAAAATGGTTTAATATTTCAAGTACATAATACAGTATTTTAATTAGAATATTTTTTTTACATGAAGTAATATTTAGAAGAAAGATAACTCCTCATCACAGATATATATTTTTTTCTTACAACCACATATAACATTGTGATTTTCTGACTTAAGAAACATCGCTTTATGATGTTTTCTAACATGATTTAAATAGGTATAATAGTAAGTATTATTTTCATATGCACCTCATATATTATATTTAATGTTGTGGTAATAAAATCGTTACTCTTTCTACTCTCTGTGTCGATATCTTCATTTCATTATCTGCACATAAAAATCATTTCTGAAAAAATAAGCAGCGCTTTATACTTCAAACCATTTTCCGTGTGGCTCTAATGTTATTGTTGTTTATGAAAATCAATATTACAAAATTATAACTTTCTAAGATGAAATTTATAGCAGAGGGTCGGGACAACTGAAATGAAAGCATACGGTATATCAATATATGAAAAAATTTATATATTGTAAACAGTAAGTGTTTAATTTCCTATCAATAGTTAATTGTGTTAAATATTTTTCACCAAAATACATTTTATAAATTAATCATGTTACAAAACCAGAGTATTTACAAACGTTTTGTATTTTTACATGTGTTCATGAAATAGTCCAGAACATGAAACCATTCCAAGGTTAGATGCAAATCTTATACGGTACAACTTTTGATGCACCAAATATGCATTTCGACAAATGATACTAGTACTCTGACATGCCGAAATGTTTTCTTTAAAGATTTTTTTTTAAATTAAATATTGGTGTTGAGTCCGAAGGTTGTGTTATGCTTTCTTTTTGAATATTTTCCGGATGTCCTACTGCGTATCCTCTTAATTTGTACTTTGGCAAATTTGTACTGAATTCATATTGATCATTGAATGTTTGAAATTTTTATATTTTCCATCCTTGTTAGTTATAATAGTTAGTAGTGATATACGGTAGTGCGACTGTCAAGTCCTCGTTATGGTCCGACAATGTTATAGGCCGAAACTATCAAAGTCCAAATTTATCTATCAGCGAAAAATAGGATTGGCCCTCTCAACGTAGATCCGACGTTGAATCAATGTTGGCAATTCAACTCAATTTGAATTCAATGTTGTTTCAACATTAAATTTTCAACGTTGAAAAGTCAACGTTGAATCAATATTGTATCTATATTTATCAACGTCTTAACCCAACTTCAACTGATATTCAACGTTTAAACAACGTTGTGTGCATGCTGGGAAGTCCGATATAATTACATAAACAAACTTACAATTCAAGCAACTTTTATTGAAACACAGGTACATTTTAAACTGCAAACAAAGACATGATGTCAAAGTAATGTTTTAATCAGTTTGAGAAAACCTTTTATTGGATTCCAATAACACCCATACTTTAAAACTTAAACATTGGTTATGACTTTTTAACGGTAAGGTTAAGGGCTTTAATTCTTTACATATGCAATCCTTGTGAGAAGGATACCGCAAACTTTCACCCCTTGACCTTGACCTAGGAGTTTGACCTACGTTTAAAAGACAATAACCTTGGCCATAATTTTTGAACAAGTTTTGCAAGCGCTTTTATATTTTACAATTCATATTTACAGTTGTGTTTCTTGTGGGAAGGCC